CCGGGGGACCCTTCGCGGGCCCCGCGGGGGACGTGGCCCCGGGCCTGGGCCTCAGCGTGGACTCAGGTAAGCCCCAGAGTGAGCCTGGCCGAGCTGGGCCCCCGCCCCGGGCGAGCCCTGCACCCCCTGTAGGTCCCCGTGGAGCCCCCCGCGGCGCAGTGTCTGAGAGTCTGCGGGGCGGGGTCGTGTTTCAGGGGGCAGAGGACCCGGGGCCCTCAGTGGGGCAGAATGAGAAACTAGGACCCTGCCCTGCCCTAGCTGGGAAATATTACGGAGGTTTTTAAAAATACGCAGTTTGTTGGAAAGGTTCTAGTTCCACGCTGTTCGGCTCTGTAGCCACTAGCCACATGTGTCTATTGAGCACTAAAAAAATGTGGCTAGGCCGAACTGAGATGTGCTTGAAGTGCATCATACACAAATTTCAAAACTTTGTACAAAAAAAAGTAAAAAGTAAAATTTATCTCACTAATATTTTTATATTGAGTGCATGTTGAATTATTTTCATGACATTGCATATTAACTATATTAGGTTAAGTAAAATATATCATTAAGACTAAGTCTCACCTGTTTCTTTTTACTGTTTTTCAATGTGGCTGCTAGAAAATTTAGAATTATGCCAGTGGCTCCCATGTGTTTTATTGGACAGTCTGATCTAAAGTACCTGCCCAGTGTAGTTTAAAATCCTCTGCCGCCTGCGGGGAGGGGGAGGTGTCTTGCCACCTAGTGACAGTTATAAGAAACATTACTCTTAATATCAACTTAATTGCCAAATTAGATCTCTTAGGAACATAAAACTTAACAAGAATATGACTTAAACAATAATAATAAGTCTCTGCTTGAAGAGTTGAATTTGAAAGGTACATTGAAACAAGGGTTTACTTTTTTGCTTTCTTTAGTTTTAGGCAGATGAAAAAAATAGTTATAAATACAACCATTGCCTTGTAGCTTTGCCCAGCCTCCTTCCCTCAGGAGGAGATTTGGCATTTCTGTTGGCTTTGCTTTTACATTCATTCGTGCCCTTTAGATAAGTTCTGTGACTTCCACAATAAAACAGCAGTGTTTGTCTTTCTCTTTCTCTTTCCTTAAATATCTTGTGCCTTCCCTCCCCACCCCGTTCTCTCCCCTCCCTCTCTCTCTTCTCCCTCTGTCTCCCTTTTATTTTCTCTCTGCTTTCAGGTTTGCAGCCTCAGGACAAAAGCAAGGATCTGTACTGGTTTTAGGCAGCCCACCTTCCTCCCTGTAGGTCTCTGCCTAGCGCACTTGGTGACACCCAGAGCTGGATCGAGTGGGTTTGTAACAGCTTCTGATCTTGGTTTGCAGCTCGTCGCTACTCCCTCTGTGGTGCGTCCCTCCTGAGCTGACCCGCTGACCAGGGCTCCCCCTTCCCTTTCCCTCCTGACCGGCCAGAAGGCTCAGCATCTGTGCCACTCACGTCAAGGATGAAGACACGGGGAAAGGCAGAGACTGCGAACCCCTCCCTGTGTCGGGAAAACCAAAACACACATCTCAGACATTTCATCTGAAAAGAATTCTTTCTGCCAAAAGAGCAGATCCAAAGACTCTGAATTACGTTAAAGACTTTTGGGCAAATCACTGGAAATATCTGTGGTGAGATCACTTAGGTGATAGAAGTTTTCTTGGAAGGAGGGAAAGAAAAAAAGGACTTTTCGGTGTGAATATTTTTTATGCTGATGTGAATTATTTCATTGAGTAGTGTGATCATAGCACTACTGATATCGGTATCTTCAGACTTCACGTGTATTTGTATTTGCGTTGAAGACTGCGGCAGAGAATGACAAAGCAGCCGATGATTCTTCCTCACCTCGCAGCCTCCAGCTCCCTTCCCGCCCACTCCCTCCCCGCAGCCCCGACTCCAGGCACAAAGACACACTTTCTTCCCTTCGGGTTGTGAACGCGGAAGCCTCAGCCTGAATGTGAGTGGCAAGTGGATCGTCTGGAGCCACCTGCCCAAGTCTTACTGAAATGCAGCTGTTGTAGGACAACTGTTTAAAACTCCAGAAATACATCGACCAAGGTGGCACTTCCCAGTGTCTGGCAGAACAATGGCAATCGCACTGGATATGTTTTATATGTGTGTGTGTGTGTACATCATATTTTTTACGAGGAACATTTTACGATGAAAGAAGAAACCCTTCTCTGCCTTCTCTCCCACAAATTTTGTCCCTCGCTCTTTCCTCCCTTGGATGAAAAAAAAAAAAAAAAAAGCATCAGGAGACCCCAGCTGTCTCCACGAAGAAGTAGGAGTCACCACCACGGGAAGGGTTGCTCCATGGAGTCTCCAGTACCTCGGATGTTTTTCTCAGTCTCTGTGGTCATGACGTGGTCACTTTAGTGTTGGGACAGAGGAAGGGGTCTGTGTGTGGGCAAAGCTGAAGGAAGCGAGGAAGAAGAAATAAACATTAAAGGTGTCTGTTTACTACCAGGCCGCTGTGTTGTTTCATAGAGAGAAAATAAATGTCTTAGATTTTCTCTAGTAGAATAAAATAATTTATAGTATATGATCTGCTGTCAAAAAGTAACATTACTCTGTTTTTATTGTGTGTGTGTGTATATATATATACACATACACATATATACATATATACACATATATATACATATATATATATATATATATATGTATGNATTTTTATTGTGTGTGTGTGTGTGTGTGTATATATATATACACATATACATATATACATACATACATACATATATATATATGTATGACTTTTTGTTTTTCCAAAGTGTTTGCTCTTCTGTCAAACCCTTTAACCCCTCTGCTCTGACATCAAGCCTGGAGATGGGAAGTCATGGGTCTCCCTTCTGTTTTACAAACCAGAAGATCGACCATGGCCTGCAGCAGCCCAGGGCTTACCTCTTTGTATTCATGAAGTCAGAAATAGAGATGGCACAGGAAGCACTACCCTGCACACCGTTCAGTCAGATACACATTTATTCTTTTCCAGAAAAGAATTATTGCTACTTCTTAAATTCTAGACTCTTAAGCCAGCAGAGACATTGGTTAAAAAGTGTCTTTGAAATATTGTTCATTTTTATATTTGAATAAGCTAAGCTAAGAAACCAAAGCTACCACTAGACAATGTGTGTGTGTGTGGATACAGATATATATATATATTCCCATATATATGGAAAGAAATTGTTTTCTCATGACACCAAAATTATTTGTGTATCTCTTGAAAGAGATATTTTGTGTTATGCCCAAGTTTCCCTTGTAGATTGTTAACACATAAAAATATTAGTTCAAATCTTGGCCTTCATTGTAACATGAGAGGCAAATATAATGTATCTTGAATAATAATCTCAGGAGCTGGGGACAGTTAAGGGAACTTACTCAGAGCATGGCCTAACAAAGTTACGCACTCCCTCTCCCTATCGTGTTGGGAAGCTCTGACATAGATTATAGTCATTACAACAGCCTATTAGGGGTTTTGCTCAGATGGAAGGTACTATATGATTATACTGCATAAGATGTGATAACAATAGTAATAACTCACGTTCATTGTTTTTCATATACCAGGCACTAGTCTGAGGGCTTTATATACAGGTCAACTCATTAAGGCCTCACAATAATTCTGGGTGATTTTTATTACTATGATCCCCTTTTTACTGACAAGAAAACTGAGGCTCACAGAGGAGAAATAATTTGCCCAGTCACAGAGCTTGTCAGTGGCAGAGCCAGGATGCCAACCCAGGCAGCCCGGGTGCCGAGGCTGCACCATTACCCACCGTGGTGACTGCTTGTCCACTTCTGATTTGTCTTTGGCTTCTCAACTGTGGGCTTCATTTCTTCTCCCCAGTAGATGACTAAGGAAGGGAAGAGGCAGGGCAGCAAAGCCTGACGAACCATAGACCCTACAGAATCCCAGGCCTCAAGGGAACTACCATCGGACATTGTCCAGACCCTCCATCAGATGTAGAGCAGTCGGTCAGATGCAGATTTCCATCCCTGTCCAAGAGGATATTTTAATGCTTCTCTCCACTGACTTCAGTATTGAATTAGCCTTCACTGCTCTGAGGTTCTCCACACCCAACCTAACCAAGTCATGTAAGAGTTAGCCTGAAGTTTGGACATTGAAGTAATAGCTAAAATTAACTTTGGACTTCTCTGTGGATTTTTTTAATCCATGTTCCGTTGGCATGGATCGCTGCAATATGCAAGCATGAGTAAAATGCGTTAAGTTCCAGCTCGCTTTTTAGAAGTTGTCACTGAGTACACAGTGGAGCAGAAAGCACAGCAGTGCATTTTCCACCAGACATCTCCAAAGTCCCCACTGAAAGAGGCTCTTTTCCTGTGCTGCACCAGCAGTAGCGCTCACAGATCTCTGATCAGAACCCACAGGGAGCACTTTCCCAGCCACAGGAGTCTGATTCCTGAGACCTCTCTCTTGAGCTGCATCTGACCTGACTATCAGGTTGCTGGTGAGGACTCATTCACTGGAACTGGCCTTTGGGGCAGTCCTGAACAGACCGTCCGGGCTGCTGAGCGGGGCTCCGGTAACCAGGCACGTAGGACACATGGAGAAGAGCATTTCCCTCCGTGTTATATGTTCCTAAAGTAGGAATGCAAGATGACCCCAAACTGTAATGATTCCGTGTAATAAGAGCATCAAAGAGAACTTTGGGGAATTAACCCTCACTGACATTCTTTAGGCCCGCCGCGTCATGCAGAATACGGATTCCCCTGCCTGTCTTGCTAATATTCGTGAAACCATGGATGTAGAGAAGGCCCTGGCGGTTAAAAAATGACATTCAAGGAAAGGAGACATAAGAGGATGGCATGAAAAAAGGCAAACATGATGCGTTTACCTATTTTATACCTGGTTGGGGGCCTGAGAGAAAGACTGGACTCTCCTGATTGTCCCCACTGGGATCTTCTGTGCCCTCTTCATGCAGTTTTTCCTTTGCTCTTGGCCTCACCAGTGAGGGAGAGGTGATGAAAGGGGGAGAGACAGCTCTCCGCCACCAAGTAATCCTTTTGCCGATTGCCCTCTGGCTGAGAATTCAGTCACCCAACTACTGGGAACTCTATCTGTTCTGCTCCTTTAGTTTAAAAGGAGTTGCCATCCTGTCCCGTTTCCCCTTTGAAGTTCTATTTCAATGGATGGCAAATTCGAGCAATGACTGAAGAATCCTTTGGGCCTGGGTGGAGGGAGAGCAGGAGTGGTGGGTACTGGGACTCAGACTCCCCAACTGGAAGCAGGTCTGGCCACTCTTTATGGGGAAGTACTCCATCTCCTCTGCCCTTTGCCTCCGAGGGAAACAACTCTAAAGGTAACCTTAACCTCCAGTATTCTTAGAGTCACAAACCCTGCCTCTGTGTGGGCACCTATACGCCTTCTAGCAAAATAAACAAGGAGCTCTTTTTTTATAAAATACTTAGTGACTGGTTACTTTGGAGACTGAGGACATTAAAAAGAAAACCGACAAACTGCTTTCCATATAAATGGCATTTCCATAGAATGCATTTTAAATGTAATTTGTTAGGTGTCAAAGCATGGAAGAAAAAATGGAAAGATATTTGAAAAGACTTTTAAAATAAAACTGTAAAACAGTATTCCTATATAAAACTGCCTGAAGTCTGTTGATAATTTGCACGGAAATAATTCACATTTTGATTGTACTTGTCAAAGGCTTTGCTCTATATATTCCATTCTTCCTTGCCAGTATTTTAGGATTATTATTATTATTCCTTATTTATTACATATTCCTAAAATCTGGAGAAAAGGAATAACGTTGTAAAAGCAGCATGGTTATTACAGATGCTGTTTGTACTGAATGGAAGTTTTGATATTTACACAAGCAACAAGGTTAAGCAAATGCAAATTTCACATGTTCTCCACACCAGCTCTCTTTCATCTCCCAGGAATAAGTGAAATGGAACTGTAATGATGCAAGCACAGTATCTGCACAATAAAATCTACTTACCTACAAACACCACACACACACACACACGCACACGCACACACGCACACACGCACACTGGTGCGGGCCTAAAGAGAAATCAGAGAACCGTGCCCTCAGACAGGCTCAGACACAAATGATTATTCTCACTTGACAGACCAACTGTACCGCTCTTTCCTTGTATTTCACTCCAGCCCCAGAGGCTGGATCAGGAAAGAGACACTTGATAGCTGCTGTTTCCGTGGTTGAAATATTTGTGAAGTTAGCGCATAATCTGAAAGCAGAAGCTAATAAATTATAGGGTGCTAATTGGAACTGGAGTGGGGCTGTCAATCATGTTATCCTGAACACAGAGAGACCCTCATAGCCTAAAAAGGCAAGGCAGCCTCAGGAACACTCCCAGTTGTTTCCAGCCTTGACCTCCACTCCGGCAGAAACATCACGTCCCCGCAAGGCGGCCACTGGCAGAGTCGGGACGGGGCTCTGCCACTCGAAGCTGGCTTCAAGAAGACGTACAAATTCTCTTTCGGGGGAAGGAGGAAGCCAATTTAATGAAGAATTAATGTGTAGAGAAGCATATTGTTTAGAGAAATATATCTTGAATTTACCAGAATATTTATTACTTTGGCAAACATTACCCTTTATTTGGATTTTTTCACTTTAAAATACAAGTTTAAATCAGTAAGAAAATATCTAAAGTTCTCCATAATATAGTGTCGTGTCCACTTCAAACTGAAGTATTTCTATGAGTTTCCAATGTATTCTTAGGAAATTAAGCTCCTCTAACACAAAAATAAGATGTCCAAAATCCCTCTGCCTGTCTGGAATTCATTTATTTCCCCTAGAAAAGCAGCGGCAGTGGGCCTCCTGCTCCCTTGCTTTGTTCTTAGAGTCTCCGAGTAAGCCCCCGTTCTGCTTGTCCCCCAGTGTCTCAAAATGGTCCCAGTGATTTCGCTCACACTACCCTCCACTGTCGTCGTCATTTCCATTTCCTATCAAAACAGCATAAATGAATGATCACAACATAAGATAAATTTAGGTTAAAGATAAACTAAACTTGGCAAAACAAACCTAAAATTAAAATTTTCTAATTCCTAATCAATATTTGCATGACTCTAATGATCTAGTGACCAATTAGAAATTTTTACCAACATTTATTTTCAGAGTTCATACTTTGGTCGGTACGTGCATTTACAACCACTGAAATATTCAATTGACCTTCCGACTTGGAACCTTCTTTAGACTACCCCAAATAAAACCAGTTTGCACCTAGGGAAACCAATCAAGGGTCTTACCATTCTGTACACACACTCGCTCTAAACAGCAGTTATAACTGACGGCAATGTCATGAGCTGCTTTCTTTTCCTGCTAATGCTCATTACTACAGCCTGGCCCTTATTTTTGGCAACTATGTTATTGGCCCTGTGCCAACAATGATATTACTGAGAAGTTGGAGAGAAGAAAAAAACAATATTTTTTTTTTGTTATTGCTGTTTATTTTTATGTGACAGAATCCAATTTCTTTTCTTCTTCCAGTGCATTTTACCCAATGTATAATCTATCCCAGAAAACAATCGGATATATTTTTTTTCTA